AAATGACTGATGAGATCTGAAACTTCTTGCTTTGCTTTATGGTTTCTGTCAGTACTAAGTAAATGTAACAGCCAGGCCCTGGTCACCCAGCCAGGTGCCTGGCATTGAGGGCCAGTGGCAAAGCACAGTTCACATCTATGCAGCTCACATCTTCTATCTACCAAAGAAGGATGCTCCTGTCCCTAATGCTTATTGTGGTCATCCCTGGCATACTGCAAGTCCTAGAACACTGCTGGAAAATTGCGTCTGGGAAGACTGGCTGAGTTGGGTCCTGTTATTACATCCATAGTGAACAAGGAGTTGCAAGGGTGGTGGAGGAACCTCCAAGTAGGAGTGTTTAGTACCCAGTTTGGAGGAAAGGTTGGATTCTGGATCCCGAGGTAGGTTGTTCCGCTTTCCGTACAAGGCATTTCTAGTTTTAAAAGATTAAAAAAAAAATACAGCTCTAAATTTTGTAGCTTTTTAACTGTGTTTAAGTATTATTACATGAATAAATACTGAACTCACATGGAGCAAAATCTAATTAAAAGCATTAACGTATTTTGTATAAGCATTATAAGAAGGAGGATAAATTTACAATTGCTGTGTTCCCATGCTAGTTTCATAGTCCCATTCATCCTGGTATTGCCTTCTTAGTCAATATTTCAACATAAATAAAAGCCTCTGCAGTTTGACTGAACTTGCTTGGCCCACTGTGTCTGAGGCATGACTATGGTAGTGCAAAGGATGCAGACGTGCTACTGCTTGTCTGCAGACAGATAAGGCTTGCATTGTGCAAAAGGAAGCAAATAACAACTCGCATCTGAATCTAAACTGGAGCAGCTGTGGACTGCAGCAGCCATCTAGCCAGTTTAACTGGTTACACACAGTGGGTCCATGTGGTAGCATTCAGCATGAAATCCCATGCCTGATTTTCTTGGTAGGCTTTAGGATATAGTGACTGGGAGCTGAGGGGAAGATGAGGGAGGTTCCAGGAGCAAAGCTGGAAGTACATCAGGTAAAACAGAAGTGAGATGGAGATTTTAGCTTTCACCTTTTGAGTGCTATTTAACATTAGAGGTCAAGACAACTGTGCCATGTTTCAAGGGGTTGTCCTGGCTGCTTCAGCCAGGGGTGAGGGTGCCATCCTGAACAGTGGGGCTTTGCAGAAGCAAAAGCCACCAGGGCTGCAGAGTGGAGCTGCAGGGGAGGAAGGGACAACCTGCATGGGGAGAGAGAGGGGCTTGGCTGCAGTGTTGCTGTCAGTATCCCCTTCTCCCTGTGCTTCATCTGGAAATCTCATTTATCTGAAGGTATGGATGTTGTCCAAGTGGTATAAATGCTTAGCTTTCAGTGTGTGAATAAACATGGAGAAGACAGCTAAAAAGCCAGGGAAAGGCAGGGTTTGGAGGTGGCTGTGGAGAGTGGGGAGTTTCACAGTGACACTGGCCTTATCCTGTCCCCTGACACAGCCATTTGCTCTTTTGTGCCTGATAGCTATGACCCAAGATGCTGCTGAATGGTGGCTCTGAACAGTCCTTTTCTTTGTACATGGTGTTTGTCTGTAAGAAATGAGGGTGTTCATCACTTAGTAAGTATACTGATCCCAGTGTCATTTGGGTAATAATATTGACACCACTACCTGATGGGGAAAAAATGGGAATAAATATCACACATTTAATTTTAAATCTGAACTGCTAAATGACATTTCATGTTCTGGGCTTTTTGCCCAGTAGGATGCAAAAGTGACTGTTCATATCCTACCTCTTCAAAATCATTGAGATCTTTTGGGGGGATCTGGATGGTTACCTGGAGGAAGGCTGTGTGGCTTGATAAGCACTCTCCTCCCACCATGGTTTAGCAACAGCAGCTCTGCCTCCCTTTGGAGGGAATGGTATTTCTGTGCTTGCCAGCTCTTTACTTTTGCTACTGCCACCTGTGCAGTGGGAGTGTGCAAGGAGCAGGAGACATGTAGGACATTGGTACCATCTCTCTGTGGGCTGCAGAATTAGGGCAGAGCATGAGGAACTGCTCTGGGCCACCGAGGCCTGGGAGCAGAGAGCTGGTACACGTGGTCTGCGAGTCAGCAGTGTGAGAACTGAGGCATTCTCTCACTGCAACTTCTGCTCAGCATCCCACCTGTCAGGACTGACTCTGAAACACCTTGCGGTGGGAAGACAGAGCCTAGCCGCAGATGCCTGCTGGGTGTTAGCAAATGGGTGTTCCTTCCAGGGTGCGACTTTTGAAAGCTGCTTTTCCCCCTACCCCATTGACCCGGTTTTGCTCCACTGACCAGTGAAAGATCAAGACGAGAAGCAGAAGCAAGGAAGAAATGCAGGTGCCTTTTTCTATTTGCAGTAATTTAATGCATGAAAGACCAACTGATAACTCCTTCCCTCTGGCACCAGGGAAAGAATCTCTCACGATCCCCTCTACAACCTTCCCTACCTAAAACCTTTTTATCTGAACTATATTAAACAACACATATTTAACCAAGTCTTGCTAATATCTGAGCTGGAACTAGGGCAGGGAGTTTTCCAGAAAAAAAAGTGGGAAACCCTTTCTAACGTGATTATTGCTTGTGTGAAGTGTGAGCTGCCTGAGGGAGGGGGAAGGCAGGAGGGCATGAACAGCAGCAATGTGGTCTTTAGCAGGTGTCAGAGAGAGCAGAGTCTAATGAGAATCATAGAAACACTTGAAAGGTTTTTAACTCCAATGCAGGATTTTCAGGAGCTGTTGATAGGAAACAGTAGTGACCCAACTGACGGTTAAAGAGATGAAAGGAAGCCCTTCAGATTAAATAAGATTTAGGAAATAAAAGGATTAGTGCTAGACAAAAACTAGATTTAGGGGTTTATTTAACCAGTGCAGTGTGGCATGATGGGATGTGGGGCATCAGAAAGGAGATGAAAGACAAAATAAAAAGACAAATGCGGGAGGTAGTAAGGAGGCAAGGAATCAGCACAACATCTCCAAAAACCCTTCACAAATCTTCTTATAATTGAAAATGACACAAAAAAAAAAAAAAAAAAAAGAGAGTAGTTTTCATTAACAACCCTGGTTTCTTTACATAGTAACAAGAATTGTTACAATGACAGAAATCTTCTGTGATGGGGCTGTCAGCTCAAATCCCTGCCGCAGGAGAGAAGAGCCTGTGCTGTCAGTCTACTTGCACTTACAGATTAGATGTCTGATGAGGTAAGATCAGATTTATATCGAACTATCACTTGATTAGATTCATAATTGTGCTCTGAAGTAAGGGCTGATGGACGGACCACTCTTGTTTAAGAGATCTCCATTTGGAGGTCTCTGATGAAGTTAATGGCAATCACAGATATTAGGGTATGATTGGTGGAGCCATGAGTATAGAACTCTTCCAGGCAGCATCTGTTGCAGAAACATTTCATCTTGTAGCTGAAAACCCAGGACTGATAGGCTTCCAGAGCTCAACTGCTCAGCTTTTGGCTGAATCATCTACGGGTGATCATTTGTACTACAAGGGAGGTATAGAAAAATAGGATACAGTAAAGAATTTTACTTGAATGGATCCATTATTCTCTTAGTGACTCCTTTGAAGTCCACTGAAGACAGCAGAGTGACTACCAGCTGTTTTGGCTCAGACCTTAGGAAAGCATAGTCAGGTAACGTGGGTGCTCTTGGCTTCTTGCAAGTGCTATGTTGAGAAAACACAACCTCCTCTGTTCCAAAAGATGCTGTTACTCCAGATCTCCAGGATAGGTGTGGACCTTTCTAGTGTGTTAGAGGCTATCAGAGGAAGAACAAATGCACCTTTTTCCCCCCTTCAAGTATCCAAAGTGAGACTAGATTCTTTTCTAGGTGAAAAAGCAAATGTATTTTGTGGCCTCGTTTTACCAATAGGAAGGCTTTTTATAGTCCTAGCTATGACCGGGCTAGAAAGGTTTATATTAATTGGTGGATGTTCAAATTAAAGTAATTCAATTTTTTTCTGCCAGCATTTCTGGAAAGATGTTAGCATAGAAATTTTTCTTCAGACAACATTTTCTTTCCACTTGTTCTGTTATTATACAGGAATGCCAATAAGGTTAAACAAAAAAAAAAAATTGAAGCTAGGAAATGCCTTTATTTAAGTTTATTGGGAACCTTTTCTAGGTTACTTAGTGGTTTAGTCCCTAAAATGGCCCAGAGTAGTTTTTTTTCACTGAACTCTGACCTGAATAAGAAATCCAGATATAAGTAAAAGATTTACATTTTCTTTTTGTTGTTTTGTATATTTTATATTGCTGTCTGCGAAGAGATGCATATTCCAGTTGATTTGCTTTGGATGGAAATGGAAGCTTGACTAAAATTATACAGAAAGTGCTTAAGAGACATTTTATTTGTCAGTAAAATGGCCGGTAAAATAAGAAAATCTTATTTTTCCAAACCTAAATTACCCGTTTCATTTATTATAGATTTTTTCCAGTTGAATGAAAGCAGTTAAAAGTTGTTTTTATTAATAAGCTGGTCACGATATTGTTAATACAAAAGTAATATGGTCCCCATGCAGACATGATTTTCAAAGGCACTTCGATATCTGCTTGGATTTTCCAAAACACCTTGTTGGATGAAGTGTCTAATAACTCATAATGTCAGTGAGCATATGTCAACATCTGTTAGTGCTTAGGTACCCTTGAAATGGGGGTTTTCAAAGTTTGCTTTAAATATCTTGCCTGCAGCCCCAGACTCCTTGGCTGTGCCTTCGCACTTCCATGCAAATGCAGTCAAGTCCAAGGGGCAGACATGTCATTCTTTGGATCAGTGTAAATCCTTCCTGGCCACCAAGCTCTTCCATGTCGTTGCCATTGAGGGCTGGAATTTACAGCCCTGTCCTATAACATCAGGCATTGTTCATATGCACTTCAGGAGGAGGGTGGGTTTGCTGGTTTTGTTGATTTATTCCCCCCCCCCGCCTTTATTAAAAATCATGATGTACACCCATCAAATCCTGTTGTAGGATATCTGGGTGACACCTAGGAGAGCCTCGTGGGCTTCCTTTTGCCCCTAGTCCTTCCTTTCCTGGAGCAGATAACTTGGCTAAGCTTAAGCAGGTTTTCATGACCATAGTAAACGCCAGGACATTCAGACACAGGTAATTTCAAACCTTCACATTTCAGAGTTTTATGTTCTTCTTCCAGGGCAGTACAATGGCTAATTTTTCAGTGGATATGTTGGTTGCTATTGAGGTTTCTGTTTGTTTTTTAATCTGAAATCAATTATCTGTCATGCGAAATGTTTTCTTGGGTGAGCAACATCTGGAAAATATGTTTAAAAAAGTAGAGAAAATGAAGGTATTAATAAAGGGAAGTTTGGGACATCATGTTAAACAGTGCCACTAAACTGCCTGTAGGTAGTACAAGAATGATTGCTTTAACCATTGTTTCAGAACATCCTGGAACACAGATTTTCACAGAAATGCATATTTATGATAATTTATTCCAAACTTTGAAAAAGTTCCATCATTATTTTCTTTAAAAATTATATTTAGTTTGAGTTTGCTTCTGAACTGCTGTCTGTTCTCATTTTTGTCTCCCTTTTAATTAGAGTGGAAGAAATGCTGAAATGTTGCTGGGGTGGACTTGAAATTCCTCAACCAGAACATACCAGAGGTTTCAGAAAAACAGAAACCCCCTTTGTCGTGAGCCACAACAGAATACTTTTCTGTTGTCCAAATGTCTCCCTGGGGACAGCCTTCACGCATAAACAATTTTTGCTCACTAGCAACAGGGGGTTACCTGGCAATTCCCACTCTCTGTGTCATCCTACCAGCTCCCCTAACCCAATCACATCTGCTAATGTAAGCTCGAAGGAGCTCACAGCCCTTTAAGGCACTCACTGGCATCTTTTTGTTCAGGCCCAAAATGAAATTGGCAGAGCAGTTGGATTGTTCCCTGCTAATCATTTATTATAAATAGCCACAAAATAAGACAGCTAAGGAAAATTTACGTGTTTTTTGTTATCTCTGGCTTATTCATTCTCCAAAGACACTTTTTCTCCAGGTGACACTTGTGGTTTAAGCTTAGAAATTTTTTGATGTCACCTTGGGAAATGATAGGGGAAAAGCTACACAACTGCAGACTCTAAGATCTTAAAGGTCTTTTCCGACCTAAATGATTCTATGATTCTGCTCCTGCCTGTTGTTCTTAGCAGACATTATATATGATTTTGGTTTTTTTTTTTTTTTGTGTACCGTGAACAGTTTTACAGCGAGGTGGAATGCTGAAATCCCAGCTCAGATGGGCTGGCTCTCTATATAAAGGCATCACATGAAGCTTGTTGAACTCATACCCTCTTTTACATGAGGTCACTGATTGTCTCAAGCCTCTGGTCAGCTTTGATATGAGATGCAATATTTCTATGATCTCAGCCTAGGGATAAGCTGGTGGCCCTGGACTCAACAGTGGTTAAACATGAATATAAACAAAGTGGAGATTTGCTTTGTGCCAGACGAGGTCACTTTCAAGTGTACCCACAGACTCATAGAAAATTCATATCTTTGGTTTAGTGCAAATATGTAGTGGTACCAAAAGAAACAGTATTCTAGACAAAATAATATTTAATGCTTACCAGCTCACATACCTTGACTCTGTGATTTCAATCTGTGGAAGAGATCACACAGTAACTCTGTAAATACTAGTGGAAGGCTTTGAATGCATTTAGGCTTCATTTCTTACAGATTAAAGGGTTTCTGCACTACCTATTTCAGCCCTTCATTTTAATTTTTTTGCCTTGAGTAAGTCACTGAAGTCAACTTTATGGGGCATTAGATCGTATATCAAATGTGTGTATATAACTGGATAGACACTTTTTTTTTATCCTTGTGGGTATTTATTTTGAAGGAAGTCATGTATGGGCTATCATCAGTTCTTAAATGACTGAAGCATTCAGCTGCTGTGTTTTGGGGAACAGATGGTTTGTCTACAGCTACTGAAGGATGGTATCTTATGTTTTACTTTTTTCAAGCCAAGGGAAAGGAAAAATGTAAGCTTACATAAAAGATGGTGGCATGCAAGCAGTTGCTTAAATGTTTCTAAGTACTATCATCAGTAAATTATACCAAATTGAGCACATCAGAGGGAGTATGAGAAGCTTCTGTGGTGGTACAGAGAAAGAAGAAAAACTTTTGTAAAGACAGAAAGACATATAACCTGCTTTAGTAGTCACCTTGAACAGTTAACCCTATTCCTTGGACTAAATCTAAGCTGAACATAAAGCAGTAACCTTTGGAGAGAGGCCTGGTTTACTTTTCTGTGTCTCTGTGTGCTGTGAGGAGCTAGGCAGCATGTTTTAGCAGTCCTTTGATGCTTAGGAAATGGGTTTATTTTTTAGCATTTTGGTTAAGCTTCACAAAGTCATGAAGATTCCCTTTGGGACTGCAGATGTTGAAGAGTAAATTTAAAAGGTGGGCTCAAGCTGAAACCTGCTGAAGCTGCTTCTCTGTAGGAAAAGACCTTTTTGGGAGAAATTCTTTCAAATGATAATGAAAAGATATGAAGCTGTCAGTTCAACCCCTGAAAATCAAGGTAGTTTGGAAATGGTAATGTGTTCACTGAAACAGGTAATGGGAACATTACATCTGGTCTTCTTCAGGATGAGTCACACACTTTTCCTCTTTTCTAATTCTGCAGAGTCTTGGCACCTCTATGTGATGAAATCCATATACTGACTGTGGTTACAGGGCTGAGCAAAACACAGAACAGATGAAGAGATACAGGTCAGTATGTGCATCTATATCTGTTTGCCAAGATGACACGGATCCAGAGGAATGTTTGAATATTATCCAGAAATTGTCATTCCTGAATATACATCTACTGAGATGACCCTAGAGAGTACACACCTGGTTTTTACTTAACCAATTGCAGAAGAGATACCAACTCAAGAGTCCTGAGACACTGAAACATTTTCAGACAGGTCAATGCTTTTCTAAAATACCCTGGGATTTGGGGTACAATGGGCTGTATTTTTAACTTTTTTTCAGAAAAAAAAACCAAACCAACCAAACCACCCCAAGCCCCCAACCCTAAGAAAGGGGGCAGAAAATGTACAAAATTACCGCAGCTTTAGCATTTTGATGAATAGGGCACTTGGTTTGTTTTATATTATTTTTTTTTTCCACTTGCTTGTTTTTGATTTTATCTTACATAAGCAATAGATAATTTTGGGAAGTGATTCCTGCAGTTAATGATATTCCCTGTAACCAGCAGGCCTTTTATCTGGAAGAGGATGAAGCTTATGGAGAGAAACCTTCTCTGGTTTATGAGATTAACAGTGCAAGACTGTGTCCTCCATACAGACTGGTTTTAAACTGGAGTGATAAAACTGCATGTAATACAGGAAAGTGTTTCTACTTGGGTCCCTGGGAATATCCCGCTTCCTGGGACCTGTTATGATAAAAACTGTTTGATGTTTAGTCTAAATTTTGCCTTTCTTAGTGTTGTCAGTGTTTCTAGCTGTTTCTCTTTTACTATCTTAACTTGTTATTCTTCTGCTAGTTGTTTATTTCTAACAGATGCTTGTAGGCGGTTAACATATGTCCCCTCAGTCATTGCTTAGCTAAGTTGCACACACAGAAATTACTCCTTTCAATTTTTTTCCACAGCTGAATGCCCTCTTCAGCTACTTAACTTTTTCTTTGGTTTCTCATGGCTTCTAACATGTCTGTATTTCTGTGGAGCTGGCTGAAGTATCCTGGGAGTGGCGATTTGCTTCTTTTTCTTTAAAAATAAATAAATAAATAAATAAAAGCACATTTTTTTTTTAATTAAAGCTATTTATTATTTTCAGTGCCGTAGCTTGTGGGCCTTCATTGTTCTGGAAGGCTGCAGAACAAAATGAGAGGTCACGTTCTACAGAGCTATTGCTTCTGCGAGTAGCTGCTTCAAAAAGGCATAAAACCCCAGCAAAACAAAACCAACAACTTACTCCACAGACAAAATAGCCACTGCTGAAATTGGTTTGGTACCTGGTGGCATTCAACGGGTGCAATACCTGTCTCTCTGCTCAGCTGTGTTTTCCTTCCCCTCTGCATTCTTTGCTGTTAGTAATTGTAGGTATACTTGGGCTTCACTCCAAAGTTTGGCTGTGCCTTTGTTTCGTGTTGGGAACCCTGGCTTAGTTTAAAGCTCACAGTAGCTGGCAGCTTCTTGTTAAAACCAGTTGATGATGAATGCTACTGCACTTGAGGTGCTGCATGTGCTGACGTGGACAGACTGTTTCCAGACCGAGCCTGCATAGAGTAGTACAAAGTAAGCTCTGGCCTCATGCCTGGAGACTTCCTTAGGAAGTCCAAGGAAGATGTGGCATGGTGTGACCATGGGAAGGGCAACCATCTTGTCCCAGTGAGACCTGGAGTACTGGAAGGGCTCCTTTTCTTGCAGACTGGGATTGGAATGGTGGCCGCTCTTTTAGAACAGCAGAAGCACCAGCAAGAGCTATTTCCCTAAGCAGCTGGTTTCCATCCTGTGCCACTGCAGGCAGCCACCCCAGTGGCCTGGGAGGGCTGCTGAGATGGAGCAGGTTAAGGGGCTGCGGTTCTTTGCGTGACCTTGGAAGTGCCACTAGCAGGGTGAGTCTAACCAAGGACTGCAGAGGGTGCCTGTGCAAAGGCTGCAGTCAAGCTGAAGCCACGTGGGACTAACTTCAGTTTATTCCTCTCCTGATTGTGTTCACATGTGAAAATGGTAACATGGAGATTTGAGGAAGAACAGACCATGGATGAAAGCAACAATCAGTCTTAAAAGACCTTTAAAAGAAATTATGGGTAAGTATCCAGCATAATGGAAAACCCTTACCTGGGTAAGACTCTTTCCAAGAACAAATGAGGGATGATTTCTTTTGTCATTAACATCAGTTACATACATGTGGGTAAGCATCACAGCCAGCAGCAACTTTGCTGTTATCTGCAGGGCAACTGGAGGAAGGAAACTCTTGGGTGACACTTCCAAGCAGGCCAAATGTACCTAGACAAAGGAGCTCTGATTTCCCAAAGACAGGAATAGTGAAGGCTCCATGCGTGTCTCTAAGTATGCTCCATGTATAGCATACTTTTCCACCTGTTTAAAGACTCCTATTGAGCAGCGACTTTTACCTGTAGTTATTTCCTCTGCTGGGAAAAGTGAGGTGGGCATTTGCACCCAAGTAGTGCTGCTATTTCAGCATTAAGTCAGGAAAGGTGCAGGAAAACACTGAGAAGCAAACCCGCGATTTTCCGCAGCTTTTTCTCCCTTCATTGCATGTCTGGAAGAAGTAAACAAGATCTGATACATTTATACTGAAAAAGGTTTTGGCAAATTTAGAATCTCTCAACTGCAGATGCTGGAGGTAGACATGATGCTTCACATTTCTGGTCTACTGCATACACAGGGCTCTATCTGCTTTCAGTCCCAGTGCTGCTTCGGCCCTCAGATCATCAGGTTCATTTTGTTCAGCCTTCAGCAATGTGGCTCCCAGATGTGTTTTCTGGTATTTCGTTTATAACTGTGAGGAATCTACAGCATCCACTCACCCCTGTGTCTGTCTTCCTTTTTTTTTTTTCCTGGCATTGAAGTTCTTTGAACAGGACATTCCTATTAACATGAATGGACAAAAACTGAAATAAAACCAAAAAACCCTGTCAGCTTTTCATTCTCACCAGGAAGATCTTAAAGGTAGAACTTCAACACAACACACATTTTTGTAGAAATATCTGCCGGTAAAGCTTTGGGTTTTTTTCTGTTTACCAATATGCTAAACCGGTTTTCACCTCTTGTCTCACATTCTTAGGCAGTGTACCCTTTTAGCTTTCGGCTTTACGAGCATCGATACCAGTGTTGTAGCTACGATAGTTTTGGGATGTAAATGGTTTATTTTATTATACCAGTGTATGAGGCTGAGGAAAAAAATGAGCTGGAGGAAGGCTTGTATGCCGGAAAGCTTGTCTGCTTTCTGCAGCTATATACGGACTTGAAAGATATTATCTCATATAAATCTTGCCTTCCTTTGTAAGCATGTGGTTGGATAATTATCTTGAACTGTTGCTTGAATAAAAGATTTCTGAAGAGTCTGGGCACACGATGTAGCCTTTGCTAAATTGTCTAAAGGTGATTTCTTAAAAGAAGTGGTTTTCTCTCAGTTTGTTACACAAACACACAAAAATGCCTTTTGCCATATGTATTTATAGGCCACTTTCAAGCACAGGGAATGATTTCTTCTTATAAATCTTCACATGCATAGCAAAAAATACAGGCACATTTTTAGGTAAGTAATTTTGAAAAGGTGTCACTATGTCTGACTTCAAAGTGCCTGATAAATCTAGATTAGAAAGGAAATTAATTTGAAATTTTAAATCATGAGCCTCAGTGCACTGGGGAAAATCAAAAAGGTAAAAGATCAGAAAAACAGCTCAAGCAGGACTGTGGGAATTTGGGTTGTTTTCTTTTATTTTTTTTTAATTCATTTTGTTTCACAGGACCTTCCTATACCCCCTGCTGCAATGAGAATACAGCTTCAGCACACTTTGCTTTTTCAGGCTTTGGATTTGCAAGCTCACCAGCTGGATCCTGAAGGAGGTTCATGAACTTTGCAGCACACAGCTAGTCTGATCTTGCCTGCACATAGTTTTAATTGCAGTAGCTAACAATTGGTTTGTACTCTAAAGTGTAGGGTATACGATCTCTTCCAAAAGTATTGCTGTCAATGATGATAACTTTGCATGTTTTCCATATCCCATTATTTGAATACTGATTATACCTCACCCTCTCCAGCTTTTGGGACAGGGGCTCCTCATTTTAATCCTGTGCTTTACAGAGAAGCACTGTGTTTAGCTGCTTTGAATACTTAGTTGTGTTTTATTGCAAAGGCCAAGACAGAATGAAGAAAGGCCCCATCCAATCTTCTCATTGTATGCTGTATTTTATATACTTCCATCAAATCCCATACTAACCATCACTTTTCTAATGTTAGTGATTCTAGGCTTTGCAAATTTGCTTGGCAGCAGAAGCTCTGTCTCTTGGCTAATCCTACTTCTACCCTGCAATACCCTCACTGAGGAAATTATTCTTCCCCTTCCTTACGAAGCCAAACATTTCCTTTGCTCTTGGTTGCCATTGAATGAGAAGCTTTCTGCCAGCTCCTTGCCATGCCATGTCTCACACTCTTTCTCCTTGAGCTGAAATAGTTGTCAGGACCCTGTCAGAAATAAGACCAGGTTTGGTTTGGGGGTTTGGTTTTTTTTTGGGGGGATTTTTTTTTGGGGGGGTGGTTTTTTTTTGGTTTTGGTTTGGTTTGGTTTGGTTTTTTTTAATATTTCAGAAGGGTGCTTTTTCTATCTTACGTTTGTTTTTACCATTGTATTTCTGATTTTCTTCACCTTATAGTCTGCCCTAAGTAACCAAATCATCAGTTAGTGCTGGCTGTTTTTTTCCCCCCACTGATACTAGAACGTATTTATTAACCAGTGCACAATTTCAGGGCTCTGGCTGATGACTGCTGCGTAGAGAATTCATTACTTGATCCTATCCTTTGTTTCCTAACTTGTTTCTGACCTAGCAGTAATTCTCTGCCTTTCTCCCCAAGAGGATGTAACTTTTGTATGGCTTCTTGAAAAGACATTGCCAGTTGTGTCTTCACTGTGTGCCAGGGCACGACCCCAACCACCTTCAGAAAGATAACGTTTTAGGTTTCTGATTAAAAAACAGTTCTGCATGAATACTATGTCCCAGTTCTGAAGCATTTCATGATTTAAAAGTTTTGGATATGTCAGGGCAGAGCCTCATGGGGTTTCTAGTTCTGTAGCTTCGAGTCATTATTCTGCCATATCGGTAACGTTAACCAGGCTGACTTAATCTTCTTTGAGGCAACTTAACTACCACTCTGGACCTACATATTTTCATACTTATATTATTTTTTTTGTGTGTGTGAAAAGTCTGAACCATCTGTAGTAGGAAAAGGAAAGGAGAGAGGGTTTTGTGTTTGGTTATCTTTGCCCAGCTTCTACTTAAGCTTTCAAGTGTTGTTAAAACCTAATGTACTCTCCAAGGCCTTGTTCTGTGTATTATAATCTCTAGTCATCTGTGCTACAGTTTTCACAGAAGTGCTAAAACCATTTTACCACCACTTCCCTGGCAAGACTACTCAGAGAGTCTTTCAAAGAACGAAACTTTTAATGAACTACAAATCCAAGACATTTGTGAGGCCTTTAGAAAAACTTGGCATTTAAATGACCGTGTTAAGTCCAACAGTAATTTTTATATCTGCAGTGTATAAAATCAGTCCTCTAGCTCCTTGTAAATATCAGCACAGAAAAAGGACAGTGAAAAGCCAATTGTCTGTATCATAATTAGTAGAAGACAGTAAATTAAGGGCCAGTAAACAGGTTTGCTGAGGAGAAAAGGTCTCCACACTTCTGCTTTTTCTTCCAAAATTGTATACAAAATTGAAAATGGTCTCTCTTACTACAAATTTTTATATTTCTGGATATTATTGTTTAATAAAGATATCTACTCTACAATAAACAAGACTTTAATACAGGACAAATGTGACTCCATGTAGAACAAAACATGTTATTTTATCCATTTGCTATACCAAAATCTTCAAGTTCACAGTCTGCAAATGAGAAAAATAGATGCAAGGAAGGTACAAAATTTTTCAAAGTGAAAGTATGTAAAATAGAAATTCACAGATTTTCTTTTCCAGTTCTTCATTAGGAATACCAGTAAAATCAGAACGTAAAAAGAAATACAAAGCTATATGGTTGTTTTCTTCTTTTTTTTTCTTTTCCAGTTCTTCATTAGGAATACGAGTAAAATCAGAACTTGAAAAGAAATACAAAGCTATATGGTTGTTTTGGGTTTTGTTTGGTTTTTCTTTTTTTTTTTACTTTTTAGAAATGGCCTTAACTTTCAGGTTAGATCTTGATCTTGAGCTTTTGAAGTGTTTCAACTCACTCTCATTTCCTCAACATACTTTTAAACATTAAGAATAAGGATGTAATCCTTTTCTGATTTCACTTGACTGTGACAGAAGTCTTGAATAGTATAACTCTACCTGATGAAAATGAGTGTATATGAGACCAGAGCCAAGTATAGCCTAACTGTTTTTATTGGACAAGTAGAGGGCATGGGAAGAAAGCATGCAACCAAAGTCCAGCACATTGCTGTCACTCCAGCTTTGGGTGGAGCAAACATGCTTTTACGTTAGTGAACTTGGAAAAATACCAACAAAGCCTTTGTTTTTCAAATCCCATGAAAATCGCTCGATCTATGGGACTGTGTAAATGCCATAGAAATGTCATTCTTGACATTTGAATGATGCCAGATAAGAGATCTCAGCCCTTTCTTTACCAAGGTTTTTGTGAGAATCAGACAGATTTATCTCAATCATATTCATCCAGGCAGTGAAATCAATGCTAAGATCACAGCAAGTCCCCACCAAGTGAGGGAAATCGCTGCAAGCTTAAGAATTAGTTTTGGGGTCTGGACTTGGCAGGTGTGAAGAGTTTGCCAGTTAATGGCTTTAGGAATTAATTCTGAGATTGTTTCTAAATTTTGTGCTGTATTCCCATGCCATGACAATAAGTCATTACATAAATTTCTAACACCTCATGTGTGCACATATTTTTTTTTCTCCTAACACTTCCAGGTATGGGGAACACTTGGGTGGTTATGCTCAGTGCCTTACTGAGGGGAGAAGAGGAGCTCAGTGAATTTGCTCTTGCACGGGAGTCTACACAGAACAGGAGGCTAAGCCCAGTTCCTGCATCCCAGTTTGGTGGTGTAGTCACACAGCCACTGCCATTCTCTGTATATATTTTCCATGCCTTGCCCCTACAATGGGAATTAGTCTGAAAATTTGAATGGTGTAGTTATTCAAAGTAATAGCATCGAGAAAGAAATATTCTTTTGCCTGCAACCTGCTTGACAAAGGTACCCTCACAACTCTCAGACTGCCCTATAGATGTCAATAGACAGCACCAGTTCAGAGACCAGCACACCTGCGTACTCAGCAACTGCCTCAGATTCAGTGAGTCTTGGCGGTTTTACTCTTCCATGGATGAGAGGTGTGAGAAGTGCCATCATACAGATCTCACAATGAAGAATGAAGCAGCCTCTTTCCTCAGCAGTGAACTCTGAGCAGTTGTCGTAAAAAATTTGCAGATGTTTTAATCCCTTGCTGTTAACTTTGTTTTGGAACAAAAGGATGAAAGATCTTGTGTTTCCTAGAGGCCATAAGCTAGATTGCTAAAAAGGAATGTTATCCACAGCAGATAATAATAATTTAGATACTGATACCAACTTGTATCTTCCCTCTGCTTTGCAAGATTCTATCTTAGACAGTTTCAGAAACTTATCCAGATTTCAGAAGAGCAACAGCAATTTAAATACTGGTGAAGTATCATGATTGCTCTGGAAAAATTCAGCAGGATATTAATCATTCTTTCAAACTAGAGTTGAATACTTCAAATCAGTGGTATGAACCTCCAAAGGATGAATGCTGATGGGTGTTTTCTCAGTTCCCATTCAGTCTCCACTGCAGTGGTCTCTCCCCTAAATCACCATACTACAGAAGTCAGCTGCAAACATGTCAGGAGCGTATCATAACACCACATTACATGTAACATTCAAGAGCGTGAGCACATCTTAATGTGCCATACAAAGATCTCACGAGACAGCACTAGCAGCTTTACTGTACTAAATTCTCTTGTTTCTACAGACTTCTGCAGCAGCCTGAAATGCTAGATAACCTATGTGAAATATATTTCTGAAATCTTTTGGATTGTTCTTAACCCCACATTCTTGTCTGGCTGCAGCATTTGTAGTTTTCTACCAGGATGTATTTCCATGGGGTGAAGCACCTGTTGTATCCAGCGGGTCAACCAGGAGTGAGTTCTACCATGCAACAGAACTTAAAACATTTACCTGCAGGGTCAAAGACATTTCTAACTACCATATATCTGCAAACCTGAAGACTTAGAGCTCCTATGTTAGGTTTTTGTATTTATCTAAAGTAATGACTACGTGATCTTTCACAAGGAGATGTAAGCTTGCTCTGTCTTTGCTCTGAGTTGACTGGAAGCCATATGAAAAACTAGCATGGCACCAGGCCTAAACTAATATGCCCTGCTTCTCAGCTGAACTTTATTAGCTTGGGCTTGATGCCCTGCAAACCACAGCTGTGGGTTTCTTGTCGGCTTGGGAGTACAAGCAGAACAAGCTCAAGTCTCTCTGCAGGTAGTGCTGTAGGGTTTTAATGCTTATGAATAGCACCAGCATTAGAAATTTGAATGTTTCTTCTTCTGCCCTCAAAACAAGCCATAAAGTGATTTGCATGTGCTTCCATGTACAGCCCCTCTATCAGCAAACCCAGGGTATTTTTCAGTGTTTGCAATTTTGTTTTGCTATCAGAAAGTCACTCTTTGTGCTAGTATGTAGTCTGTTCCTTTGCACTCCTTTTGTAGTTGAAGAGAGCGATTTTCCTAGCTCCTTAAAAAAAAAACAACAAAACAGGCAAGCAACTAAACAAGACAACAGTAGATTAATGAAGAGTAGACAAGGAAAGACTTAGAAATTCATGTGGAAGAACACAGGTGTTTCTTTAGAAATGCCTTCAAATTATTTAATCTATATCTCTGACCTGGAAATTGGCTTCCTTCTAAGAACAGCTTTTGGGGGAATTTTCCTTGTGAAAATGTATTCCTGGAAAAAGCCTATTTGTTAAAACCAAACGCAGCCTCTAGGGAATGATAAAGTCCCTTGGGTTCCTTCTCTGGGTTCTAGTTCAATCCAATCTGAATCAAGTTGGCTGGAAACCCTAAATAAAGGTGAGTGCTCGCCTGCTGTGAGGAGGCTATAATACTTTTTGGAGCAGGTCTTTGTGTATCATCTTTGTGCTTCAGGTTTCTCATTGAAGTGTCTGTAGTTCATAGATTTATGGCACATAGGTGAAAAGGGTACGTTGCCTGCTGAACTTAAGTGGTTTCTTTTCTCCTCTTTCTCACTTTCCACCTCTTCTTTTCACACCCAAACACCTACTACTGTTGAAGTGAGTGCTTACCTTTTAGTGAAAGATTTGAGTTTGTCAGGCTATTTTTTTTCACAGCAAAATTTAGGATGAGTATTTAGTGGTTCTTTCTTTCCATTCAGGATT